GTAAAGAATATTCATGAAACTGAAGGCTAAATGGAATCTTAGAGCTATGTCATGGTAGCAGTAAACATCCCCTAGGAACAGAGCACCACTCCCCACAGTTAGAAAAGAAAGAGATGGAGATCCAGAAACACAACCAAGCCTGATGCACAGTGACTAAGACAAGCTATCAATCTTACCTAGTGAGCTTAATGAGATTCAAAAGACAAATGTGGGACATGTTGACACCAGTCAGATAGAAGTCAGAGGTGAGTGTTCCTAGGTGAGACAAAAGTCATCTAATGAAAATGTATTCCAGGAGTGTTGAGAATCACAAAGAAATCATCAAAGACCAACCAGGTTGTTGATGAGGTCAGCAAGGTTCATTCATGTTTTGCTACAAATTCACTGAATATGTATCGTGTTTAGATGCTGTGCCAGATTCTAAACATGTAGCATGCTGCAAAACTGAAATGGTTTCAAACCAAAAATTTAAACTATGCTTAATGATGCAATAGTGGCACTAATATTATGTGAGTAACTGATCACCTTCTTCTTGAATTTAAGGACAGCTTCACAAGAGGGTGTCCATACCTGACACTTTTATCAGGGCAGGAACCTGTCTCTAGACAAATCTCAGGCCATAGGTGAGAACCTCCTACTATCATTCTGCTAAACAAACATCATATTAAATTGACTCACAATAGTTTATTGTTATATCCATAGATTAGCACATCCTTCAGCTCTGACCAGTGAAAGTTCTTTTTGCAGGATATGGAGGGACCGATAAGCAGTCAATGTGCAGAAAATATGAGACAGTGGAGTGCTCAAACCTAATTGAGATGCCTATATCATATCTTTGAAAGCTCAGCGATCATTGCAGAAGAGGGTGTGTAAAGAGTGTAAGAGTCAGAGGTGGTAGATAAAAACAAGGAAACTGTTTTCCAGACACCAGAGGGTAGTTATACACATGATTCCACAGAGCTTAGACAGCATGCACAAGACTTGAGCAAACCTAAATCAGACCAGTGTATAGCATGGATAGGGGAGGTGGGCAGGAAACCTCAGTGCTAGCTGAGAATCTAATGACAACTGATGGATGCTGGGAGAGGGAGAGTCAGTTTTCCTTACTGGTATGACCCCTGTTAAGTTGACCAGACTGTAAGGCATGGACCCTCACCTACTTAGAAGGCATGGATTGGAATTGATAGGCCTTTACAAAACAAAAAGTATACAAATAAGTAGATAATAGTGGATGGTATGACATATGAGGGGGTTCTAGTGGGGTGAGGCTAGAGGAGTGGGGATCTGAATGTGATCAAAGTGCATTGTATAAATTCTGAGAAATTATTTTAAAATTTCTATAGACTTTCTTCAAATTTGTAGACATCCTAAGAGAGTTGAACTCCATAGCTACATATATGCAAATGCACACACACATATAAATTATGAAGAAAAACACGTAACTTAAAAGACAAAAAGAGATATACCCCAAACAAGCTAAATATCCAGACGAGCTCTACAAGTTAGTGACATTCAAATGTGGTATCAATTTATTTATTTAATGATTGACTGATGTATTTCTTGATGGGGTAGGAGGGTACATGCAGTAGCTTGAATGAAGAGAGAGGTTAGAGGACAACTTTGGTGAGTTGATTCTTCCTTCCATCATGGATTCTAGGGACTGAATTCAGGTCATTGGCCTTACACAGCAAGTATGTTTGCCTGCTGAGCCATCTTACCAGTCCTGAAAGTGATATTTATTTCTTTTTATTTTTGTTGCGTTTTTGTATATTTCATACAACAATTCTTGATTAAATTTAGACCCCTCCTCAATCTATATCCCCTGCCCCCTGCCCCCTACTGGGCTTCATGCACTCTACTATATGTGTTAAATCAAGTATTTGTACCCAGATGTCCATCAGTGCAAGTTCATCCACTGGAGTCTAGTCAGCCTTTCTAGAGACAGTAAATAAGGTCTACACTCCCTCATCCAGTAGTAATCGGCCACCAACAGTCCCCAGGCTAGGACTAGCCCACCGCCCTTTTCCCTTGTTCCACTCTGGGCTCTTGACTGATTGAGTTGGCGTGGGTCCTGTGCTTGATGTCACCATCACTGAAAGTGCATATGTGCAAGGTTCCAGTGGCCTGAAAGTCTTTGTTGCCCTGTGTTCATGGGCCAACGATGGCTTGTACCATCTGTGGACTGTAGCCCCAATCCCTTATACGTGAATATATATCCTGATGTAACAGCAGGAGCCAGGAAAATGGAAAGGAAATACTGAGGTAAAGGGAAAGAAAAAACCAGAAAGAAGGGGATAGTAGGGAACAGATGTTACGAGGGGGTGAAGAAAGTGGAAGTGTTGGACTGGGAGTAGGAGGAAGGGCCACGCAGGGGTCCATGGTGGTGGGGGAGGAGGGAACTCAGGAGGCAGATGGTGGGGGTGGGTGTTATCAGGGGTGGACTAGGGTAGGAGAAGAGAGATTGGACGGCGAGAGAGGTGAAAGATGAATGGAATTTGGAGGTCTGGGAAACCAGAGGGAAATGTATTGGCCTGAGAAATCCCTGAGAAATGCACACACGGTGTATGAACATGAGTGTATACCTGGGGGATGTATGGCAAAGAATACAGAGCCAGACAGGAGAGACCTCCCTTTGAGTGGCTGGTCAGAGTAGTCCAAGAGACTCCCCAAATAACATAGGCTATTGCCAAACCTCTTGCTTATCTTCCAGAACTAGTAGATAAGACCCTACTGCTGAAGACAACGTAATTTGGACATAGGACTTGGAGAAACAGAGCAGGAACTGACCTGGAAGTCTTCTACCTGAAGTCAAGATCTCATAATTCTAGAGGATGCTATGCAAACTGCTAAGGGAGAAAGTCAATCAATAGTCCAGGCCAGTCCTAAAGCCTAATAACCATAAGACTGGCACAGCAAACTACCTCTATTGATGCAGTAATGGCACTGTTATCTGGGGGATAATCAGTAGCTGTTTAAATGGACTTAAAGCCCTCTCAATGGGCTTTAAGTAAATATATGGGTGGCACTGTAAACACAGCAAATACATATGGCTGGAGAGGTCATCGATCCTAGAGAAAACCCTATCTCTGTCATATCTCTAGACAAATGAAATTTTTTGCCATATACTAAATATGGATCCTTATATTTACAGACAAGTACTCCATATACCATTCATCAAAGAAACTTCTTTTTGTAACAGATGGAGATTACTGCAGAGTTCCACAACTGTTCACACACAAAGAATATATGTCTGAGAGATACCCAGTCTTAAGTGACATATCTACAGTGGAACCTCTACACCTAAGGTCTGGAACATAGCAGACCAGGGAGTAGAGAGTCAACTAGTGCATCCTTGAACTCTCACCATCGAAGCTTCTTATACAACAGAGTGAGATGCACACAGAAGGCCATAACTCTCCAAGTTTTGGAGAATTCGTAAATGTATTCAGAATGCATGTCCCTGGATAGGACTCCTATAGTAAACCTCACCTACTCTTGGTTCAGGGACCATTTCTGTAAATGATAGTTAAGTCAATACACATTTGGGAGGTGTGAGTTGCAGAAAGTGCTGAGGGAGGGCAATATGAAGGTTCTGAAACCAGAAAGATCTTAATACATCAAGAGAAGGCAAAGAGAGACAACGTGACAATGGAAAGGTGAGCTCACTAGGGAAGGATGGAGAGATCGATTGTGGAAAGAAAGACAAGGAAGAACATCGTTTAGCTTTACAAAGTGTAGCAAAGCTTTGGATTCATCTTCTGTGCAACTGTCAGATTTTCCTAGTTTTTGGAATGGCTTATTAATTTAAGTTTAATATGGAAACACATAATACAATGGAGGAAGAGTAGCAGCAAGAATAGGTAGACTACTGTTACATTCATTCAGTGTTGGCAGTTACACCAGAATAGTAATACTTTAATGAATAAGAAACAGATTTGAGAGTATATTTTAAGAAGTGATTGGTATGCATTAATTCTGAACATAACATAGTACAGAAGGAAGAAAACATAATTCCTGAAATTTTATGTCACAAATACAGGTAAATAAAAGCATCAAACTGCCAAGGTCAGAAATGTGACTATTTCACTTTTGAAATACTGAATTTTAAATTACTGAGAGATAGGCAGACAAGGAAATTAATAATCTGTAGCTCAAAAGACTGTTCAGTTCTAGACATAGAAAATTTATAAGTGCTTCACAATAACAGGAATAATAATTAAAATCATAAGACTAACTCTGAGAATCTAAGAAAGTTATCAGACAAATAAGAAGACTGGAAATTATGATCTGAAATCTGAGACAAACATTTTAAGAAGTAAAGACTGCCCATGTGTGTTAAGATTTGAAGAAAGGAGGACAAGAAAGGTCCAGTGGATTTGATATCAGTAATCAAACTTGGCATAATATTGGCTAGAAAGTCTACAACAAAGCCATCTTAGAATAGGCTCAAAGTGAACAAAATGGAATGAAAGAATAAGTGAAACAAAGAGATAGACTGGCTATGTTGGGAAGTTTAATTTGGAAAAAAAGGGGAAGAAGCACTGACCTCTAGCTATATGGAAATGCGTGCAAGGAAATGTATATGCTTAAAAAAATATGACTTGAGACACTGAGTGTTCTGAAAGGTGACAATAGTGGTCAAGTGAAAATAAGAAATGAAGCCCGGTGTGGTGCTGTACACGTTTAATCCCAGTACCCGGGACATAGAGGCAGGCGGATCGCAGTGAGTTCGAGGCCAGCCTGGTCTACATAGCAAGTTCTAGGCCAGCTGGGACTGCAGGGAGACCCTTTCTCAAAATAGACCAAACAAACAAAAGAAGAAAGAAATGTAAATATTCAGAAAGCAAAAGAAAACCGGTAAGTAAAGTCTCTGAGGTGAGAGGAGATAGAATCCTGAGCGTGTTCGACAAATGGGATGGCTATTCAAGGCCAGGTGAAATTTACATAGAGCTTGCAAGAGGTGAACATTTAGGCAAGGGGTGGGATGCCTCGGTACAAAGTCAATGGTGAGTCGAACTAGCTTTCTCCCCCTTCCTGAAGATGGTCCTCTTAATGGCCCGAATGAGTTCCTTGTTGCGAAGACTATAGATAACGGGGTTGGCCAGTGGTGTTAATACAGAGTATACCACAGCTAGAGTCCGGTCAAGAGTGAGCGAGTAGCTCTTCTTTAGCCGTACATACATGAAGATGATGCTCCCAAAGAAGATGAGGACCACAGTGAGGTGTGAGGCACACGTGGAGAAGGCCTTCCTTCGTCCTGCTGCCGTTTTAATCTTCAGCACAGCACCAATGATCTGCCCATAAGAAACCATGATAAAGAGGAAGGTGATAAGGATAATGAAGGCATTGACAGCAAAGTCCACCAGAACATTAGTGGATGTGTCCTTGCAGGCCAGGCTCAGGAGAGGTGGAAAGTCACAGAAGATGTGTGGGATTTCATTGTAGTCACAAAAGGGGAGCTGGGAGACCAGGATGACCTCAGAAATGGGGCACAGGAATCCACAAGTCCAGCAACCAGCAGCCATCTTGGCACAAAGTGCTGTGCTCATAACCAAGGGGTAGTGGAGGGGCCGACAGATGGCCAAGTATCGGTCATAAGCCATGGCTGTAAGAAGGTAGCACTCAGAGGCTCCTAGGGAGTGGAAGAAATATGTCTGAAGGAGGCATCCTGCAAAGGAAATGGTCTTCTTCTCACTGAGAAGATTAGCTAGCATCTTAGGGATGGTGGTGGCTGTATACCACAACTCCAAGAAGGAAAGCACACTGACAAAGTGGTACATGGGTTTGTGTAGGGCAGCATCCAGTCGAATGACTAAAAAGATGAGCATATTACCACCAATGGTGAATAGGTATGCCAAAAACAGCAAGACAAAAAGCCAGCCCCTGACATGTCCAACGTTGGGGAAGCCAAGGAGCACAAATTCAGTCAGGCTTGAAAGGTTGTATTGATCCATGAGAGGCTGAGGTGAACACAGGAGGGTTAAAAACTGAATTAAGGGGATTGCCAATCTATGTCCAAGTTTGACTTTTTCCCTAGAAAATTGAAAGTTAACATAAAAAAAATACTTCTACTAATGCTACTGCTGTTAATTCAAACTTAAGATAATACCTATCTCTGATTCTAAATATATTCAAAGAGTAAGATAAAATTATAATTCCCATTGTACACAAGAGAAAACTCAGGAATGGAAAGATTATGAGACTTTTCCATTTCACGTACGTGCTATATCCTTTTGAGACAGGATCTCCCTGTAGCCCCAGTTAGCCTGGATTTCACAGAGATCCACCTACCTCAGCATCCTAAGTGCTGGGATTAAAAGAATGTGTCCCCATTCCAGACAGAAATAAAGTTTTAATTTCTACACTCTGACTTTATGGTGCTTACCTTTAAACTATATGGTTATGGTCTTCTCCAAACATGCTATGCCTCCTCCAGGTCATACATGGATTTTTCTATTAGTCAAATAAAATGATGAATTTGCATATGAGAATGATGTAGCAAGTCTTTTCTTACTGTTTAGTTCAAATATATAATTATTTATTGTACAAACAAGCTTCAGGTAAAAGGAATAGGAAACTCATCAAGGTGCAATCCTTGATGACTGAACTTCTACAGCCTCTTTAACTCAGGTAGCTACATTCATCTGTGTTCTTAAGGTAACCCATGAAACACAAAACACTGATGTGCCAGGCAAGGGGCTCATTCCTCATACCAGGGTGACTGGAAAGGGTTTTGTAGGAATGGAAGCCCTTGTGCTAACTTACATAGGCAGAGTAAGAATCAAGCACAGAAGGAAAGGAACACTTTGGACAAATACTACCTCTCCTGAGCATCAAGGAACCTAGAAAAGGCACTGTGAAACCTCACCCAGTTATCTGGGGCCCTATCTCCAAAGATGCAAGGTGCCACTAAAGAGTATCTACAAATGAGTGATATGATCAGGTGTAGACAGATTATTAACACTGCTGAAACAGTTTATCTGACAAGAAACTCAGATACAGATGTGTAAAAGTGCCTATGGGTCCTGCTGACAGGAAAATAAGTTGGAGAATTAACACATTCAGTGAGATAATGCAAGTTTAAAATTAGAGATGATAAAGTAGATAAGTAAATCCTCCTGTATTTTCAGAATACTAGATAACCCAGGTAAGGTTTAGACAGATAATCTGGTGAAATTCCATTTAAAAATGTGCTAGACATTCATATTGTTTTCAAGAATAATGTGAACAATGTACAGAAAATGAAAGGAGAAGGCAAAGCAAGGGAAACAGAAAAAAAGGGGAGATGGAGAAAAGTTCGAATAAGCGAGGCGAAGGGAGGCCGTGCTACTTTAAGTGCATGAAAACGGTCAACAGTGTTAGCCACTGTGCCCAGTGCAGATTGGGCTTCACTTGAGGAGGGATGTCCCGATTAGTCACCACACTTACAAACTGCAATCTCTTTTTATCTTTGTTACTCTAATCCTTGGTGTAATGGATATCATAATAGGAACAGTCAGTAAAAATTAATTATTTAATCAAACTAATTTATTATTTAGTATTCCAAATACCTCCCTTCAAATCACAACACTCACTGAACTCCAAATGTCCCTCTATGGTCAAATGCCCTTTGATATTGTACTATGTTGAATTCATACAAAGCAATTAGTATCACAGAGATTCTTCTTAAATTTCTTCTATAGAGACTATATATTCACCTCTCCAATTACAAGAGACAGAAGCGAGAGCCGTAGTTTATGATTAATGACAGTTTGCGTACCTTTGCCCCCAGTGGTTATTAATGGCAGTTTGCGTACCTTTGCCCCCAGTGGTTATTAATGGCAGTTTGCATACCTTTGCCCCCAGTGGTTATTAATGGCAGTTTGCGTACCTTTGCCCCCAGTGGTTATTAATGGCAGTTTGCGTACCTTTGTCCCCAGTGGTTATGTGCTTCTGACTTAGTGCTTATCCCTCTTCCTCATTCTGGGAACCATGTTTTGTACTTCACAATCAGGTCAAATGTTAACGCCTTAATGAAGCTTTCCTTACTTTCTCAGAGAAAAAGTTATTTATTCCCTCTTTTATATCTTCATAACATTTAGAATGCATAATTAATATAATGTTCTTACCTTACAATGAATTTATCTTCCTCATAAATTGGTAAAATCTTTTAGAGCAAGTGAAGGCACTCCAATCATTAGTACATATTCCTGTAAAAACGACCAACGTGACAAGCATAGAATTCATGGTTCTTGTATGCAATTACAGTTTTTCCTGCCCCAACTTAAGTTATGTCTTTCCACTTGAACATAAACACATCCTTCCTGAGATCTTGGTATCTTAAGATCAATGCATTCAAGTGATCTTAACAACTCAAATTTAGTTTGGCCCCATTTCTCCTAATCTGTTTAAAGATCTATCTTTTACTACTCTCAACTTAAAGAAATTAAAGTAATATTTTTATTGTCTGTTTTGTCTAAGGAATTTTTAGATGATGTTTCTTTTTCTGCAAATGAGCTTGTCTAAAGTCAAATGCATGTGCAGCCAAGGAAAGGTCAAATAGGCATGGAATGATTTCAGAACCACACTGAAGACCTATGGAAACTTAATTCTTACACTACCAAGAATGCTTAATACTGCCACTGAAGAACTTGGGTAAAGCTGTCTCCAGATTCAATCTTGGCAAGTATACCTGCTCCCCAAAGGGCTCAAAGGACTTCATTAGTTCTTAGACACACTTCCTACATGTAGATTACATGATTTTTTTCCAGAAATTTGTATGTTATAAATTCTGTCCCAATACTTAGCCTGTCTGTGGCATCACAAAGAGCAACATTTTGTCTTTCAATAAAGTAGGCAGTAACTGGTCTCTTAAGAATGAAATAGGAATGGACCTTTAAGTCTTCCAGATCTGATGCTCTAAATGCTACAAACTACATTTTCTAAGAGTTTCATTAGTCATGTCTCTACTGACCCCATGCTCTGATTTTAAAATAATAGGTTTTTGAACCCCTTACCTGCCCTACTTTTAGATCCTTGATCCATACAGATTGTTAAGTTATGACAAACAACAAAACATTTCCTGTTACCACTTTGCTGTGCTCAGCATGTGTGGGAGATGGTGGGTAGGTCTAGGAGCCTTTCCTCTTCATTGGTTAGTCTTATCCACACAGCCAGAGTCTCTGGAGTCAAAACAGTCAAGTTTAGGTCACTTGGGACACAAGGATGGGAGAAACCCCAGTCCACATGAGACTACGGCTCAGACTAACTCCTTGGAGGGCACATGGAGACAGGGACTGTTTAGTTCTATCTGAGAGGAGGGCTCAGAGAATGCACACTATCTCATCTTTCTGTCCTTCTACCCCTCCTCCTATCTCAGATGACTACTCAACAAAGAGGAAACCTAATATTGCCTATTATGGCTCTTTCTTTGAGAGACCTCTCTGATTAGAGCTGCCTATTTTATAATTATTTTATATCTATTATTTTTATTTTATGTGTATATATGTATTGCCTGAATGTAGGTAAGTGTGCCTGTGTCGTGCAATAACTGCGGAGGACAGAAGAGGCTGTTGGATCCCCTGGAACTGGAGTTATGGACAGTTGTTAGCTGCCATGTGGGTGCTGGGATTCAAACCCGGGTCTTCTGCAAGAACAGTCAGTGTTCTTAACTGCTGAGCCATCTCTCCAGCCCCGAGCTGCCTATTTTAAAATAAGGAAAGATTATGGCTCTTTCAAAACTTCACTATGAATCATGACTGAATGGATAAAACATTTACTAAGCTTTTCCTGATTAACACATAGTAACTAGAGGTCATGTATTAGCTAATACAATCCTCACAATTACTCTATAAGGTTGGTGTACTTGTTATTTTCATTTTATTCCTGAGGAAACTGAAACACAGAATATTTAATAATGTGCTCAATGTCACATGCATACCTCTGTCAGCTTTATAAACAGAGCACTCTTAACAAGGGGCCTGTGATCATCTTTTTTAAGTGTCACTGCCTCCAGACATGGTGGAGGTGGTCAAAAGAATGTATCCAAGCTCATCGAAGTGCTTGAACAGCACCTGTCTCAGGCCCTGTTCTCTTCACCAGCATGTGCCCTCAAAAAATTATTTATTTTAATTCTATTTATTATTTATTTTATCATATATGTGTGTTGTGAGCATTGGGATAAAATACATAAAAAACTACACTAATTTAAAACAATTAGTCTACTTTTCCTGGCTTAAATAGTAAGCATAGAATATACATTTATCAAATTTCAACAACTAACTTAGTCTGAGACACTTGTCATCTCACAGCCTTGTTTTATTCATCTTAAAAGAGGGTGTATTTAAGCTACTTTGAGAAACAAATGATATGTTAATACCTTCTGGCATAAGAAAACAAATATAGCTATGATTCAAAATAATTGGGTTTACTTGCTCTTTCACTAAGAGGATACAATCCCATAGAAATTGTGGAACATTTCAGTAAGGAGATGTGAGAAAGGGATTATTATACAACGTGAACTCAGGTTAGGTGATTTGGGGAAGTGCTTCAAAAAGTGGAGCTGGCTCTAGTCTGAATTTTGTCAGTTACTAAGTATAGAGCCATACAACCCACAACACTGCCCAGAAATCATGTGGCATCCTGAAACTCCAACCCCAGCTAAGAAACCCCAGAAAGAGTTCACTGGCCCACTGGGTGCTCCACCAACCTTGCTGCCTGTGGACCACGTGATATCCTGGGACCTTGACTCCTGGGAGGCTCCCCCAGCCTGTGCCTCAACTTACACAGCTCCACCTGAGGATGGTGTAGTATTCTACACCAGGTCTCCAAGGAGCAATACTCATTACCACTGTGACCCCAGCCCCTGCCACAAAATGATCACCTGTAGAATGTGGTGAGCACTCCATGGACTTCTAAATACTGGCAGTAAGAATTTTCTAACCCTAAAGGAAGTTCGCTCCTGAGCTCGGGAGTT